GTATTTCTCAAGCGAACATAGAATCCATATGGATGCTGTTTAATTAAAATGTGGGGTGTTTCCTATTATACTTTTGGATAACATGGATGCTGCTTTAAATGTTCAGTCATCAGAGATGCAGTCCATAGCCACCTCAAATGTTGGTCGAAAGACTGATCCTGCATGGAATCATTTTGCTCATTCTGTAGAACAAGGGAAACACGTGTACACATGCCTATATTGTGCAAAAAAAAATAAAGGTGGGGGAATATTTAGAATGAAGCATCACCTCGCTTGTAAGAAAGGTCAGATTGCTTCATGTAAGAATGTTCCACACGATGTTTGTGCTAAAATGAGAGCTATTTTGGATGAATTAGAAAAAGAAAAAGGGAAGAGGAAGACAACTTTTAAGTTGTAGATTTGATGATGAAGCATATGAAGATGATCAACCAATGGAAGAGGTTGAAGAAGCACAAGAATTTCCTCATCTTACAAAGAAACAGTAGCAAGCCGACAACAAAGGCATGCCAAACAGTCGGATAACTTTTTTGTTAAAAGGACAATTCCTAGTTCCCAACCAATTATCAGGAGTAATTAAGGTGGTCAAGATGTGGTAACAAGAGCATATAAGGTAATTGCAATTAGCAAGATGATTATATGATTGTGGTATTCCATTTAGTGCTGTACAGTCTCCTTATTTTCAGCTAGCATTAGATGCAACTATTGCTGTTGGATCAAGATATAGATCTCCATCTTATCATGAGCTGAGAGGTAATTTGTTGAGAGATTGTAAGAAAGAGCATTAGCTGTTTGTTGATAGTTATCGTAAATGGATGTACAATTATAGCTGATGGTTGGACTGGTCAAACACAAACAACTATATATGATCAATTTCTTAGTGTATAGCCCTGCTGGGATTTCATTTTAAATCTATGGATAACTCTGATGTGGTGAAGGATCCAAAAGCGTTGTTTAACATGTTCTTAGAGGTTATTGAGTGGGTTGGGCCTGTTGTTCTGCGTGTAGTGTCTGATAGTGCAGCTAACTATTTATCAGCTTGAACGTTGATTCAAGAACGTTGTTTCACGACAAATGTTGAGAAATATAGTCCCACATTGGTTGTATGAGCAACTAATGTGAAGTTTATAAGGCCTTGGGCACTCTCACCCTTTGAGCTAGCTTTTGGGGTGGTGACCTCAAGGTTCTTAACATGGTATAGAGCATTCGAAATTTCACCGTCTCCCACTTTCTTCATAGTGGAATTTCCACATGTAGGTGGGCTTGTATGTTGTCCACCCTTCAAGCCCAGTGGGTTCTCGTGTGAGAGGGCGTGTGAAGGTTTATAAGGCCTTGGACACTCCCACCCTTTGAGCTAACTTTTAGGGTGCTGACCTCAAGGTTCTTAACAAGAAATATGACAGTATTTATTGGTCACCTTGTGCTGCTCTTTGCTTGAATCTTTTTTTGAATGATATTGGCAGCATGTCCCAGTGTCTAGTCTTGTATCACGTGCTTCAAAAGTAACTGTTTTTTGTTTGCATTCATGTGGTATTCTTGTCATGACTTGCAGGCTCAAGTTTTAAATAAGCATTTTGCTGGCCATAAGTTAGCAAAATCTGTTTCTGCTAAAGATTTTGGTAGTATTGTCATGGATTTCGAATAATTGCTTACTGATTTTGAAGATCATAGCCCCTATCATCAGATTGTTGATGCAGACGAAAAACCTTCATTGGGCTATGTTTATGAAGGTATGGAGAAGGCTATTAACACAGTTAAGAAGACAATCAGGAATGATTAAAAAAAATCTATAACTCCAATAAAGATCTCATGGATTCTCAATTGGATTAGCACCTGCTCCCTGATCTCCATGTAGATGCTTATTTTTTTAATCCTGCTTACTTTTATGGTGAGAATTTATTTGCGAAGCCTAAGGTCATGTATGGGCTTCTTAATTTGCTTGAAGATGTTTGAACCTATAACCTTATGCAAATTATCTAAATCCTTTATCACTAAACCAATGCTAGTGGCTTCTTTAACGGCTGATTTTCTTGTTAAACCGATAGGTATTTTAAATTTTAGAAATATTTAATGATAAATGTTATGGTTTATTGCTTACAAATATAGAGGAATGGTGGAGATTTTTTGTTCAGTGTTCCAACTTTGAAAAATACAGCGGTTCAAATCCTTAATTAGAGAGACTTTCTACTTTCTTGCCAGTGGATTGCTCGGATCGACTTATGTGTTTCAACTTGTGTTCCCTTAAAGTATGAAGGGGACTCGAAAAGAATGAGATGAACAAGCTTGTATTCAGTATTCACCACACGAAACTGACCTTAGAAAAGGCTTCAAAGGTTGCGTACTATGATTTAAAAAGTTTTCTCTAAGAAACATAACATAAGCTGTTGGCATGCGACATCAAACATTTTCCCACCGTCACTTTGTGGCCCGACCGAGCATGTGATCCGTACTCGATTGGATTGCCAGGCCAACTTGTTATGTAGTATCAAACTATATAAATTTGTCATTTTCTGTTGTAAATGACCATATTGTTTGTCGTTTTGTAAATCAATTTGGAAAAGTCACGCAAAGATGTCAATTCTAGAAGAACAAACCAGTCATGACCAGGTATGATATGTGGAGAAAATAGTTAATATCAATCACCTACTGTTAAATGTAACTTCACTTTCTAAGAACATTTTCAAGAATTAATCATGGTATTAAAGCATCATAAGAGATATTTCTTCTCTGTGTGTCTACGTGAGATGGACCCAACGAATAAAAGGAATAAAATCTCCCCATAAAAAAATTAGCAAAAGACAAACGGAAAGGAAGTAAAAAGAACAGAAGAAAACGCAGGTGTTACATCGTGAAGGATTATCAATTCTTCACGGACCAACGATCTTATCATACAAATTATAGGGCCCTAAATGGGTTAGGCGGCTTGGTGTGTAGTTTAATCTGTCTTTGTCCTTGCTTGATTGGATCTGTTTTAAAAATAATACAAATTTGAGCTTATTAAAAGACTTATTTACAAATCAGGTTACAAACTTATTTTAACAGGACTGACCTCTAAGATTTTAGGTCCTACTTGTATTTTTTAATAATAATATTTTATTTTTAATAAAATAATATTTTATTTATTTTTTAAAAAATAATGTTTTTATTTATTTTTTAATAAAATAAAATCTTATGATTGTTTAAATTTTTGTATTTTTCACAATCTTTTTCTTTCTCAGCAAACATATTTTTTCTTAACCCTAAATTTTTTTCCCGCCATCGTTTTTCTCTCCTCCATCAAATTTTACTATTATGCTGCCCCTTATCAACTTATCATATCTTCCAAATCATAGATCGATTCTCAAGACTTTTTTTATTCTTGGTATTTTTTGCTCTTTCTTTGTCTCATTGACAAGATTATCTCTTTTCAAAATTTTCATGAAAAAATATATTATTTAATTTATAGGTATTGTATGCATCTAGATACCTTGTCTTGCATGTTGGATTTTTTTCTTTATTTATTTAATTATTTTTTGTTAGAAATTTTTGACTTGTAATTTGACTTGTAATAATTTTTATTTTTTTTTATAAACAAAAGGCATAATCCCAACCAAACAGAAGAGAAACAAACAAGGAAAAGAACGTACAAATTACACACCACATCACGTGGTCTACTAACAGAATCAGCAAGGAACAAAAGCCTAATACCAAAAGGAGGTTCCCACCAAATTCTTTTAGATGTCTGCTCTTGATCATCTAAAATAAAATTGGCCAACCAATCAGCACAAGAATTCTCTTCCCTATAGGTATGCCGAAAAGACACCGACCAGTTCCTTTGAATCCATATCTGTATGCAAGATATCAGATGATACTCGTGGATTGCTACACCATTATTGGTTAGTAGAGTGATTACACTAGAAGAATCACTTTCAATGATTATATTACGGTATCCTGCACCCCAAGCCATCTCCAAACCCCTAAGCACTCCCCACAATTCAGCTTTGAAAGAAATACAACACCCCAGCCTATAAGCAAAATCACTCGACCATTTTCCATTGACGTCTCTCATCACACCACCACAAGCTGCAATACCAGGATTACCACAAGCAGCCGACTTGTAATAATTTAATAAACCAAGTCATGTTTAAAATAATTTATATGAGTTCGCTTTTTCTTGCAGTTACTGCATATAAGTTATCTGCAGTAAGTCCAATACGATGTGTTTTGGGGCAGAAATCATGGTGTTTTTATAATTTTAATTTATTTCAGAATTATTATAGTCTTTATAATTATAATTTTTTAATGTTCTAATTCCAAAATAATATCGTTTTGAGAGTAAATACAAATAGGAGAAATTTTTTCTCAATTTATACCGGATAACTGATTTAGATTAAAGCCTGACTTTTATAAGGAAACACTTTAGTTTTAATAATACTCTTTTTATTATTGGCTGAAACTTTATGCTAGTTTGATATCCCTATTAGTAAAATTAATTGCGTTGAAGTATTCTCTGGTCCAAGTACAGCTGCACCTTCATTTCTCCGCCGGAGAGGGAGGAGGAATATTCTGCCGTCACCGTCGTTAATGGACAAACCGAAACGTGTTGGTTTCGTGGGATCGAGTTCTCCCTCCCTCCCATCTTATCCATGTGATCATGACCTACCTTCTCCTTTGGACTCTCATCATGCAATTTTGGTTAGAATCTTTCCATGCTGGCATGTCGACGTGGCTCCAATGCACCCGTTCCACTTCCTGCAACCCACATCATGCGCCGTTGGATATACCTAAAAAATTCACCTCTCTTCTGTTATTCGGATCCAACGGTAGATAGACACATTTTGAGGGATGGATGCCCTTGTCTTTGTCTTTAATACGGAATCCAATCCACGACGCCACTTCGCATTCGTCGCCGAGATTTCCTCTAACATGTCGCTCAAACAATTGTTGTTGTTAATCGTTAATTTCTACAAGGTGACATGAATTATAATGGGTATTGTATTGCCACCTAAACCATGATGCTTTTATGCATAATATTATATTTTAGGACTAGTGTGACAATAATTTGAATCACTGTTACACAATTATATAAACCCAATCAAACGCCGCGTATGACGCTTTTTGTTTTTGTTGCTTCTTAAGCTATTCAGCCATTCTTTCTTTCTTTTTTCTTTTCAAAACAACACTATTCCTCTGTTTTCCTGTAATCAATGATGTTCTGTTCTCTTGAGTTGATTGGTTGTGGTTTAATTCCAATAGGTTATGATTACTGATCAGAGTGTGTTTTGGTTGGGAGTGGTTATTGTTTTCTGGAATTACAGATTCCGCCATTAAAACATCGTCACTTGCAGAGGGTATATCTTCCTGTGGCCTACACGCATCCCCTTCTTTTTTTTTCCTCTTTTTGGGACCTCTTGATAGAATGAAGGCACTGTTTGGCTGAGACGTATAAAGCAAAAGCTGCAAGTGGGATTCATTGGAATTTGCTTTTTTTGGAAGTTGAAAAACAAAGAAAAAGAAAAGAAGCGTTGAAGTTGAAGTTGAAGCTGAAGCAGAAGGAAGTGAGTGATGGAGAATGGTGGCGGAGGTTATAATGGGGTGGTGATGACGATGACGAGAGACCCAAAGCCGAGGCTGAGGTGGACAACTGATCTTCACGACCGGTTTGTGGACGCCGTCACAAAGCTTGGTGGTCCTGACAGTATGTACAGTACACTCTTTTCTTTTAAACTTAACTATTACTGCTTTTCTTCTTTCACTAGTTTACCTTCCTTCAATCTTCTTTCGTCGTATCAGTTGTTGTTGATGTAGAAAAGTTAACTTGAAACAGAAGTTTTGGTTGGAATTGACATTGAAAGGAAACTCTAGAGGGAAAAAGTTAAGAGTGAAACGATGGGGTTGTTTTTAGAACTTCCAATTACTTGCTCTGCACAAAACCAAGAAATTGGTCTGCCACAAAAAAAATACTCTAGCATATGCATGTTGATGCAAGTAAAGTCGCATTTAATTTTTTTTCCTCGTTTGTATGATACTTTCTTAAGGTACAAATTATTGTAGAGAATAAAGATCTAGAAGAAAGGTCTTCGGTTTATTGTAATATCTGAAGCTAGGAAAATGAAAGGGAGAAGATGTAATGTAATGGATAATATCCGATCACTCTCCATGGAGTTTTTGCTCTCGGGGTTTTGCGCAGCTAATATTTATGCTAATCAAATTTTGTTTATTAAAAGCTTTTCTTACCAAATATTTTCTAACCTAATTGCTTAATGTTTGTGGAAGTTTTCGCATGTCACAAAACGACATTAATTTGAAATGGTTTGCTTTGTGTTCAGAGGCGACTCCCAAGTCTGTTCTGAGGTTAATGGGCTTGAAAGGTTTGACATTATATCATTTGAAGAGCCATTTACAGGTAACAGTTTCCGCACTTTTTCTTCTGCCCTTTTTCTTCATTTATGGATATACCATAAAATATTATAAAAGGACGTGAACTAGTAAGTGAAAAATAGACGGAGAAGTGAAAAGACAAAGCTATTGATATTATCATTATTTAGTACCGCACAATAATATTGTACAAGGATGTGAACTAAGAAGTATAAAATAAAACAGAGGAGTGAAAATACTGAAATTATAAGTTAAACAATTTTATCCATAGTACCATGGAGATGGATAAAGAATCAAGAATTTGACATTTTGAAATTGTTCTGGCCGACCCAATTGGCTAGCCCAATAACACTGGCCTCATATCATAGGCCCATAGCCTCTGCTATACCAACCTAGCAATGTCAATGCTAGGTTGGAATATCTCCCTTCCTTACCTCTCCTGTTGTGCGGTATCATTGACAACGGCTGCAAAGTGCCTTACTAAGCAAGTCCAAGCTACAATGGCACTCTCCATAACAATTGACTTACTCCTTCCCCCATGTAAGTGCAGCTTAATCCTAACTATAAATACCCCCCTCCTTCTTCACTACAAAGACATGATTCACTATCTTTATGAGCCGTTACTATGTCAACTTGAAGAGCCCTTGTAGCCGTTCATCACCTTCCCCCTTTGTTACACATAGTACCTAGGAAATTCTTGCATAGCCTTGGTATATAACATTGCTGTCAAAGACACCTCTATAGTGATAAACAACACCCCTTGGGGTTACATAAGTGGCTCTCATTCTTCACTAACAGTTCAGAAGTAGTACACCTAACTGATGTGCCGGCTTATCTCTTTTTTAATTTTTTATTCTATGTACTGACTGACCATTGCTCAAATTTGTCTTCCTCTCTGTCCTTCATTTTCTTGTTTTCTCCTAACCGTTATCGAAAAAAATTGCCATTTCGAGGCATATAATATATGGTATTGCTTGTTGATTTGCAGAAGTATAGACTTGGGCAGCAGGCTCGAAAACAAAATGAAGAACAGCACAAAGAGAATAAGAGTGAGTGCATTACAAGTTTTGACAAACAAGAGTACCCCGTGCAAAGTTTTAACTAATTATCCTCTAGTTCGACCGACTTCTCCCCTAGATTTTTTTATCATTTTATTTACCTTAGAGAGGATGAGGTTTAATCTTTCTATTACTTTTGACTATTTGCTTAAAATAGAGAACATAAATCCTGGAAATGTTTGATAATATTCCTCCCGTGTTTGATAATGTTTGTTCTTCTTAGGATGTTCGTATGTAAATTTCAGTGATCTTTCTTCAGAACCTAACACCAGTTACAGAGGTGATACTGAATGCGGGTATGTTAAAATTTAAGCAACAATTTTACTTCTTTTGTTTAGATAGATTATATGCATGACTATAATTTCCTCGAGCCAAATTCTCATCTAAAACTTCTTATCTGCATAACTAGCATTTTTAATTTGGGAAAAGTTCACCAATGCCCTTGTGGTTTGCTTCAGAATCACCTATGCCCTTGTGGTTTTTTTTCTATCACATATGTCCCTGTGCTTTGTAAAAAATAAAAAACATACTCTTTTGCAAACCACAGGGGCATATGTGATAAAAAACATACCATTTTGCAAACCACAAGGGCATGTGTGATAGAAAAAAAACCACAGAAGCATAAGTGTTTCTGAAGCAAATCACAGGGACATTGGTGAACTTTTCCCTTTTAATTCTGTAAGTGCAACTCACTGCATCTGTTTAGTTTCTCCTCTCATAACAAGTTTACATAACCAAAACAGAGAAATCCCAGTAGCAGAAGCACTGAGGCATCAGATTGAAGTTCAAAAGAGGTTAGAAGAGCAGCTCGAGGTATTTATCATTTTTTGACTTGCATAGTTTTACTGCGTCCTTCTTGGTAGGTTGTGATTTTCTAACTTTTCAAACAAAGTCTTACCGTTCAATTATAGAATATTGTAATTCATTTGTGCAAGACTTCTTCCATTCCAATAGGTGCATAAGAAATTGCAGATGAGAATAGAGGCCCAAGGGAAGTATTTGCAAACCGTGTTAGAGAAAGCTCGGAGGACCCTTTCCCTGGATGGACCGGGCAGTCTTGAAGCATCAAGAGCTCAATTGACTGAATTCAACTCTGCTTTGTCAAATTTCATGGAAAATATGAATAAAGATAGCAAAGAAAACATAATAGACGTGAATGATTTCTATAATAAGAGCCATGTCTCAGCTTTCCATTATCAAGAAGTAGGAAGTGAAGAAAATAAGGATCAAAAGCCTAAGGTTGAAGGGGGTTCAGTACAGTTTGACTTAAACATCAAAGGTAGTAATGACCTTGTATCCGCAGGTGGAGCTGAAATGGAAGCCAAGATGCTTTCATATAGGATATAAAGGTTTTGAATTATCATATGTTTAACCATTGAATTGAATGTTATATACCCCTTTCCCTAGATATTGTCCATAATTTTCTCCTTCTCTCTTATTGACTAAAGTTACATTTAGGATAACATGTTATCTCTACCTTTTTCTAAAGGAAAGCTAATATCTATGCTTATTCCCCACTTTCTATCTTCGCTTACACCAAACTTCAAGTTGCAAAAACCGAGCAGGGAGATTTGAGGGTGGTCCTTGGAACCAGCCTACTATTCATGTTTTTAGTAGCACTTGGGACTTGGGAGACAGAAAAACGTATCAATGCAATATTGTTGATTAACCTTTCCTTTCCCAGTTTTTGTTTTCCCAACCGGTTTATTACAAATCCAACCCTTTTTCTCTATTGGTATAATTGGTTGAGAGAAACAAACTCCTTACCACTAGAATTAAGTGTTGTGTTTCAATTGACTGGGCATATTAACATAATTGAGAACGGGTAATTCAATTTAAATATGGCATGTTCAATTTTATAGGCAAAAGTTAGTACGAGATTTGTGAGCCCAAGATACGCTATTTAGTCCAAAATTCCAAATCATCACATTTGTTTTTTCTCTTTTCACTTCCAGGTTGAAAGGCTAGCAACATCAACCATAATCAAGGTCACCATTATTTAGGTTGATTTGTTGTGGAGCTCAGATGAAAACTGAAACAAGTTCACAATTAAAGCAAACATGATTACAAACCCTTCAACTGAGAGAAGTAAAATCACTAACAAGTATATGGTCAGCGTTCTTTCTACTCAATTGTTTTATGATAACAACTCCCAGAATTTCTTTATTTATTTTGGTGGGTCAAAAGTATAATTTTTCGTGTTCATAACCTCATCACGCATAAAGTTGTAGATATTCATCCATGCGTGTGTATTTCACCTCTGGATAAAGCTGTGAGGCTTCTTCTCCATCTTCTCCTATTTCAAAGTTTGTCAAGCACCCTTCATAGAAAATATGATAGAAATGCCCCACTCCCACTTGGCTTGCATAGTCCAAACCTGCAATTCACAACAATCAAGAGTCATTTTTTATTTCTTATTTTTTTTCTTTTTTGGGGTAAAGGGTGTACTTTACCTTTCATGGAAGAAAGAAAGTCTTGTGCAGATATGGTGGACTTGTCTAGTTGCTTTCCTATGAGTTTCTCCCACTTCTCAATCAGCTCTCTCTGAGTGAGAATGTTTTCTGGTGGTCTTAGGTATACCGTCTTGTTCAATGTTCGAGGATCATCAATTGTCTTGATTGTATATGTCGCAACATCATCTTCATCCATATAAACAACTGGAGCAAACATGCACCCCACATATCTTATTGTGAATTCATCATTATAAAATAAGAGTTTTATAAGAATTATGTTGTTGGAAAAGTGATTCTGTAATGTTATAAGATTCGTTTTGGGTGCCGTAGTTTTTTCTTTTTTCTTCCAAAAGTGTGGGTCCCACAAAATGTTGTGGGTAAGAAACTTTGTTGTGTCATGTTAAATGACAAATGTAAACCCCATAAAATAATAGACCCAATGTGTGTGTTAATTTTTAAAAAGTAAATATCATTTTTGGTACTCAGTACATTTTACGATGCCCGCTTTAGTCCCTAGCAAATAAAAAGTCCTATCATGGTCCCTAAGAAATTCAAAATGGACTCATTTAGTTGAAATCGTGGTCCCTCACAAATTGAAAAAAGACCTATATTAGTCCCTCAAATGGACTAAAATGGATCCATTTTGAATTTCTTAGGGACCACGATGGATCTTTTTATTTGCTAGAGACTAAAGCGGGCATCGTAAAATTTCCTGAGAACCAAAAAAAAGTATTTACTCATTTTTAAACTATGATAACAAATTTACAACTCACAACCACCCACCCACCCACATCTATGGTTACAGATATAGCTCACCTTTAATTTTTTTTTAAAAAGAATATTAAAGATTAATCACTATTAATTGTTTTAGAGAAGGGTTTTTTTGTTGTTGCTTACATTAACCTCAAAACGATATCGTTTTATGACAGAAATCAAGGTATTTTTGTAATTATAATTTATTTCAAGTTAATAAATGATATCATTTTTAGAATGAATATAGATAACTTATCTTATCTACATCCACGGTACAAACATTCAGGCGTTTAAAGAATTACTAAAGCTTATTATTACCTTTGACATTTGCATCACCATAGAGAAGCACCTTGTGTGATGGAGGTAAGAGGGTGCCCATCTGAGAGAGGTTACCAGCGAAGTAGCCGGCAAAACAGTTAGCAGATATGTAAGTGAAAGGAATACTGGCATCCTCAATTGCTTTCCTTACAATCATTTTCTCATCGAATGTCACTCTTCCCGGTTCAAGTGCATGTCCCATTAGTGCTGGGTCCATGCCAAATTCTGAAGGCAGGAAACGCTACGGATAGAAACAAACACATTAAATTCAATACACACGAAGAATTAGTTTTCATCATTAATCTTACAACTATACATATAAGACTAATTTTTAATCATTCAAAATTTGCATAATGTAAATAAACAAAAAAAAACTATATTATAACATTTTCCCCTATAAACAAAGGGGTTTGATTTTCTCATGTATATATAATAGTGGATGGATCTATTTTTTTTCTTTCTTTCTCTCCTACTCATACAGTCATGTACTCTACATTTATGTAGGAGATAAAATTATCTTCTTCTTGTAGGAGAACCATTAATCTCTAATTAAATTATTATTACATTTGTAATTACTAAATTACTAATAATCAGTTATTAATTTCTTGCTTCAGATGTTAAAAGAGTTCTTCTTCTTTTTTTGCTTGATACTTGTAATATCGAAAAGGGAATACAAAGCATTGCTCAAAAATAAGTTTAATCCAACTGCAAACTCTTTTTTTCCTGTTATATCCAAAAATAAAATTTTTAATCCTATCAAAAAATCAAATGAACAAGTGCGCTTAATTAATATTATTAAAAAAGAAACAAGTTCTAACCATTAAAGAGACGAATTGTAATCAACGAGCTTTTAGTTCCATAAGATTTATGATATTAATATTGTGCGCTTAATGTTATGAATTCGGTGTCTCCTTTACCATTTGCCTAATTAGGCCTTCTTTGGAAGAAAGCAAATATATGAATCTTGCCTATTTTTTATGGCACACATAAAGAAGTAAAAAAAATTTCTTTTTTTATATCTACTCGTTTTAATCCAATTCGATCGTTTGGTTATCATAATATTATTGGATTAATATTTCTCATATTATAGAAAATAATATCATCTCCGATACATAAATAAAAGTATATGCATTATGAACCCACGTGAGAAAAAAACATAAATCTCATATACTTTTATTTATAAAAAATTAAAATTATCTCATATAAAATAAAAAATACTAATCTTCGATTTTATTTTTTTTCTCGTTCTCTACGCACATTAATGTATAAGACTATTCTCATAAATATATTTTTTTTAAGGAAAAATTATATTTATAAATTTTTTTATTTATAAACTTATAAATTATATTATGTATTATAAATAGTATATTATCTTTTGGAAATGTACTACCAATAATACATAATATAATTTATAAACTTTTTATCTGCCAATATATCCATTCCTTTTTTTTTATGAACTCAAAATCTTAATTCTGAAAATTCATTGACTAGTGAGTGTTTGCTTACCTCAGTTATTTATTTAATTAAAAAATGATATTTTGATCGATCTTCCGCTAAGAAGCATTAGTCGGCAATAATCAATGTCTGACACATGATTTATTTTGTTGACGCGGCGTTTGCTATGCGGGATTTTGAAGAATTCTCGGAAATTGAATTTTTCTAAATTTTAAATTTTTAAATATTATCGTAAACTGATTGCAAAAATCATATTTTTGAAAATCGAAATTCCCGGATAAATAAAAAATTTTCCGATACCAAACGTCCCCTTAACAAGGAATAGCAAAGAGACAAAATAAAAAACCCAACCCTCAACCAGGAAATTTTATTCCATAGTTCTTTTTTTTCTTTTTCTTCTCGCTCTCTCTCTCCTCTCTCCTCTTTCTCACTCTATTTTTTTCTTTTTGGAAGGACCAATGTTGCGGGCCCTCTACATTTTCTCTCACCAACTAGGCACATAGCCTAGGCCAGCCAACACCTGTCTAGTACACTAAAAAGCCTGTCTACACAGCCTTGTCCACTTCAATCTCTTGGATTATCCCGGGAAAGCCATATACGAAATGAGGCTATTTTTTAGTTTTGTGTATAAAGAAAGATTAGTTAGATTGTGAGATATGAAGAAATCATATGTCTGATTAATATCCGTGTGGGTTCTGATAAAGACAGGTACATAGTATTTATACATACTCATATTTATTTGAAAATTCTTGAAACGGATTTAAATATTCTCAATGATAGATTTTTTTTAATATTTAAAAAAATAATGCTACTTCTAAATATCAAAGAATGATATAATTTCTAAACTGTTCTGATCTTCGATAAGCATTAACTTATTTCTTTTATATACGCGACCCACAATAAAAGAAATCAATTCTTAGTATAAGAAAAATAATGTAATTAATAAGCCTTCAAATATGAAAATTTATGTCCTACGGTTAATAAAACTAGTTTTCCAACAAAATACGTAATGTTATATGCACGAGCGAGAAATTAATTAAACAGAGAATATTTCTCACATAGAACAAATGTTTGTCATCTAAACCAAAAAGCACGCCACTAAGAGATTTTTCTTCTTTATTTTAAAGTTTTCACTTGTGAAATTGCATAGATTCTATGTTGCAATTTTTATGCCACTGAACTTTCCCTATACACTAAATTCCAAGCCTAATACAGTAAACAAATCAAACCCTTTATTGGAAGCAACTCATCTAGGGATATGGCTAATTCAAAAGTCCACATAAATATGCATCAACAAGTTGCAAAGAGGAGAGATATGTCGAGATATATAGTCTTATATTAGTTGTATCTGTAATTAATGTGAAGTTTATAAGGCCTTAGACACTCATATCCTTTGAGCTAGCTTTTGCTGTGGTGTATCTCAAGATTCTTTACATGGTCTCAGAGCCTCACCGTCTCTCACTTTAAAGTGAAATTAAAATAAAAAGCACAAAAAGGCAAACTAAAAATTGAGCCTGTGTAATTCCACGCTTCTAGCCTAAAGGGCTTTTGCGTGAGGGAGCGTATAAGGCCTTAAACACTCTCATCCTTTGAACTAACTTTTAAAGTGATGTATCCCAAAAAATTTTACAATACAGAGTACTAGAGTTGTGTGTGCCTTAAAGTTCTAAATATATGTTTGATTGCAGGACATATATATATCTATGTATACATACCTTGACGTTGCCTGCATCCTTGATGGCCTCAACAAGTTTGAGCTGAGTCAATATGTTGTGAGACCGAAAATGAACCCCAGACATGGTGCAAATCACAACATCGACTAGTTTCACAGCATCCACAAGGCTCTGGTGATCTGAGATAGAAGCCTCAACAAGATGAGCACCTTGCTTCTTGAATGATAGCAGAATCTGAACCTTCTCAATGTCAAGCCCTATCTCTGGGCGTTTAAGAACAAAGGTTTCATGGCCTTGTTCTAGACTTGCTTTCACTATCCTCCTCCCAACATACCCAGTGCCCCCCACAACAAGAACCTTGCTTTTTCCCATTAGCTTGATCCTCAAATTGGATGTGCAAAGGTTGACTATATATATATAAACACTTTTAATAATCTCAACCTTTAACTTCAAATATTTGTGGTAGTTGGGATTGGGAATTTCATTTATTTGGTTTTTTTTTTTAGGAGATTAATTAGTATTTTATTATAAAATCGCTTTTGAGCTGTTCACCCGAAAAAGTATAGATTGGTGTCTTCTCATTTAATTTGTTGTGCAAGTTACTCTATAAAAGTTGATGGCAAGCCAAATTAAAATAATAATAATAATAAATTGTTGCTTAAATGAAATGGAGAATTAAATGTAGGTTATTAGGTTAATCTCCTAAACATGGACAAAATTTGTACTTATATAGTTAGTTGAAAGTTTAAAATTTTATGATTTGATCATGCTTATACCCAAATAATTAAATAATTATATATATTTATATCGGAATAAAATAGGATCATAAATGCCTATAACCATCATTGTCTATTTTGAGTTTCAATAGTGCGATGAAATTTGGCTTCTAGGCTATTTCTATGCTCTCACTTTTTATTTTTGAATGGTGTATGAGATTGAATAAGAAAGCAACTTAAACATATTGAGTCCCTAAAATATGTTTGTTATATTGTCTTATCTTTTTAAAAATTATTTTTTAGGCGTGATCCCTTAAACTCTAGGTTTTTCATAATTTCTCTTTATTTATTTCAATCTAACTCGATTGATATAAAAATTTTGGTTTGTATTTAAATGTTTTTATTTTAATTTCTAGTATGATAAATCTAAAAAATTGAAATCGTGTATATGACTATAAAATATCCAAATAATGATAGATTTAAAAATATAAATGTGTGTATCTTGTAAAGTCATCACAAAAACTTGATGGTAGGAACTTCCTCTCCATCGCTTATCATTCTTGACAGCTTTTGTGATGAAAATATAGACGACATACAAGCGATGAAAGTGCAAATGACATACAAATTCAAACCTTATATATGTTCAATAAGTTAGAAAAGAGATCTGGCCAAAAAAACTCAATAAAAAAGTCAATGTCCATTGGATCCATCCACTGAATCTAATTAGATGTCATCGGCTCAAAAATACAATATGAACAAATTAACAGAATTTGAATATTTCATTGACCAAAATATTTTGAAATATTAAAATAGCATTAACTAATAAAGCCAATATAATAAAAAATTGAGTAAATATCTTTTTTGGTCCTCAGCAAATTTTAAGATACCCGTTTTAGTTTTTAGCAAATAAAAAAGCTATTCGTGGTACCTAAGAAATTCAAAATGGATCTATTTAGTTAAAATTGTGGTCCTTCACAAATTCAAAAAAGACCAACATTAGTCCATCAAAAGAACTAAAATAGATCCACTTTAAATTTTTTAAGAACCACAAATAATTTTTTTATTTATTAAATATTAAAACGAATATCATAAAATTTATGATGGATTGAAAAGGATATTTACTGTAAAAAAATTCTAAGGTAGTATTCAAATTTTATAATGTCATTTCAACGTCTCAAATAAAATAATGGATTTTTAAGTCATCCTGCCGCCACTATTGATCCTGGTCTCTTTTAATATTAGGTTTAATATTTTTTATTATATGTTGAAGGTCGTGTTGTTTTGTTTGGTAGTTTATAGGTTGGTCTTGTTACTTTATTACTTTCTTGGATAAGAAAAGCTTAGAATTGTAGATTTGTCAAACATGAGCAGGTATAGTTTTGAAAAATGAGTAGAACGGAAGCTGAGGTTGTTGACCATCATTGCATATTTGCATGTGAACATTAGAGCAGTTGCGTGATTATTCATTACTAGGTTTATGTATAACTTGTAGGTAAGGATGTGAAAAAAAATTGATTGATTTACTTTGCTCTTTATTTGACTTTGACTTAATTTATAAATATTATTTTTTAAAATGAGTTTAAATATTGATTACTTTTACTTGGATCAGTTTTAGACCTGACTTATTTTAATAATTGATCTATTGATTCAAAACTTAACTCATATGAAAAAAAAAAGGAAAAATCACAATTTCAGTTTTTATTTTTAGGATTGCCTTTACGGGCGATAAGATAATTTGGGGGTTCACAACAAATAAATAAGAAAACGATAAATCACAGACATTATGATAATTGCCACAAATGATTATTAAAGACTAAACTATTTATTTTGTGCCATTAAATAAGAAAATAATAGTAGTCCTGGGTCCGGGAATAATGAAGTGGAAAAAGCCAAATTAATTTGAGACCTTTTTTTTATGTTCAGTATTATAACATTCAAACTTATCCGTCTAGACAGGCGCAACTTCGTTATATCACTTTTCTTATATGGATAATAATTATCCTTGCTAGTTCATGTGTTCAACATTCAGCATTATTAAGTATTGAGGAGAGCATATGGCTTTTTGACCCTTTTGCCCCTTATTAATTAATTAATAACCATTTTGCCCCTTATTGTAAACTATCTACCAATCTGCCTCTCTTTAATCGATTAACTTGAATATTTAATCGATTAAATAGTCAAAATAAGCAAAAATGGTTGACCGGATATTTAATCAATTAAATCTTCCTTCTTAATTGATTAAATCTCCCAAATGTCGTTTAATAGTGTCAAAGTCCAATATAATACGACAATTGGCCTCCAAAGGCTTTTGATGCTTTGAAAGAGGAAGTTAGAACTGGACCTCAACATCCTGAAGCTATTGATTCCAGCATCAGTAATAGACCATGTGGCTTGGTGTTGCCATTCAAGTTCACGGCTTCTGCTGAAAATCCTTGTACCCTCACTCAAGAGAATGATGGTGATGAACCAAAAATCGCTTTTGTCTAAGGTAATGGCAAAACCACCAAGAAGAACAACGGTTGCCCATATAAAACCAAGAGTTCCAAGGCCAGTTGCTGTTTTTTCAAGCACTGCAAGCCTCAAAGCAAAGAGGGTAAGCTTCTTTTCTAGTGCTCTAACTTCTGTTGGAGAAACACAAGCACCAGCACCAGAACCAGAACCACTGTCTTTCTTATCAATACTGTTAAGGCCACGATGCTCAACCACAGTCTTTCCATTTGCGGCAATTGCACTTTGACACTATTAAACGACACTTAGGAGATTTAATCGATTAAGTAGGAAGATTTAATCGATTAAATCTCCAGTCAACCACTTTTGCTTATTTTGACCATTTAATCGATTAAATATTCAAGTTAATCGATTAAAGAGGGGCAGATTGGTAGATAGTTTACAATAAGGGGCAAAATGGTTATTAATTAATTATTGTGGGTCAAAAAGATCAAAAAGTCGAGAGCATATTATACATATTAACAAGTTCGGGAGGATGAAACTCAAAGTAGGGTGGATTTAATAAATAATTTATATATTTTAAAACAAATAAATAATTAAATTACATGAGTTTAAAAATTAAATCAATAACTATAAAAACAATCAAATCACAAACGAGTTTTGAAACTAAGTCAAAAGCGGGTCAGGTCGGATTTGACCCGATTTTGAAACCAAGTCAAACCCAATTTAGAAACCAAATCAAGTCTGATATGATCCAGTTCTGAACCAGTTCAAAAAAATTCAAATCAGGTCAAACCTGACTTGGATCAAATTAAACTGGGTCAAGTCAAAATACCTAACCTATAAAACCAAGTTGGGTCAGGTCGGCACAAAAATCCGACCCAACCTGACCCATGCACAACGCTACTTGTAGGCAAAAAAATTCATTTATTGTTTTTATAATAAATAATTATGAATTTATGGTTGTTTTCTAAATAATTACACATTTATTGCACAATATCACACCCAATTTGGAGTAATCAGTCATGCAGTTAGGCGTCACCAAGAGGCAGTTACGCCTAATTTAGGCGTCAATCGTCTGGTGTTGACACGTGTCACCAAAAATTAACAATTTAACCGTTAAACTTCTGAACTATGTTACACCGACAAGGGATACGACACGACACGACACTCTGACATGTTAATTATAAAAAATGTTAAATTTTGACACGTTAAGACACATTTTGATATTATATTATATTTTTAATTTAGGTAGTATATATTATATTTAGTATTCAATAATTTAACAAAAAAATAAAATTAAACTTATAATTCCCATCAATTTTGCAAAGAAATATAAGATATCTCAAATATTTATATTAAACTCAATAAAATCGTAATCGTAATATAACGAATCTAATAGTTATAACTCAAAATGCAACGCAACGTAACCTTTTAACCTTTTTTGAATCTTTGCAAAGAGTATTGGAGTGTCGGGAAGTGTCAGAGTTGTGATGAGTATCGGGAAGCGTCGGACACGACACGTCAAAATTTTTGAAGTGTCAGTGCTTCATAGTTTCTGAAGGTCATAACTTTTAACTCGGATATCCGAATCAGGTAATTGTTTTTTGATTCCACATAACTTTTTGAGATCTATGCAATGACACCTCATTTGATATATTTTATCTCTCACAAACACAATTCAAATTTGCAACAATGATACTATAAGAGCATTTCAACCCAAAAGCCTCCGAATTATTTTGGAACCAACACCAAACACAATCTTCTTTCAAAAAGAGTAAATAATTTTTTTGTCCTCAAGAAAAAACACAGGGTCCATTTTAAGGGAAATGATGTTGTAACAACCAATTAGTGTTACTTACCAATCAATTTTACCGTTAGGTCAATTATATTGATCAAACAGTTATATTTATTTTCATCTTTGTATGATTATGATTATCCATATTTAATACTTTATATTTATTTTTACCTTTGTATGGTTATGATTTTCCATATATAATACTTTCACATTAAATACGTGAAATCATAATCATACAAAGATGGAAATAAGTATAACCGTTGGATCAACATAATCGATCTAACGGTGAAATTGATTAGTAGTAACACTAATTGGTTGTTACAATATCTTACCCCCCATTTTAATCCATTAAAAAAATGTCGACTCCAAAAAAAAAAAAAATTCAAAATAAACCCAATTAATTGAAATCGTGT